CCCCCCCCCCTTTTCAAGACTTTCAGATACGCCACTGGTCTCACATGCTTTGCGCTGAGATATGACAGGTATGTTCCCTTTTTCGTAGAAAGGTTTTATCTTGGTTTCCCACTTATGTCGCTTGACAGGCAAACCTTCATTGACATGGAACATCATCCAGCGTAACACTTGCTTAGCAGTAGGCAAGCGCGAACCAGCGATCTTAGAATCTTGGATCCTCATAATTCTTGCCCTGTGGCTGATAGTTCTCACATTCTCAGATTCAGAATCAGGCAAAATTTCGTCATTTGATAAACCACTGTCATTGTGACAAACCTTTTGCACTAGATTATCATTATTGTCAATGCCTGTTGTGTCAGCAGAGCCAGAGCAAATAGCTGGTGTAAAATGCATGTTTGTACACTCTTATGAAATCAGTACGGTTGACTGGATGACTGATATACACTCTTAAGGACTGTTTTGATCTCAATAAACAGACACCAAAGACGCTGTTGTAATTTTGAGACAATATTCAGGGTGGAATGAGACATATACAAATGGTGCTCAATAATGAGGTCAACTGTTGTGTTTACTGTCTGTCTGTGTTTTCAGTTGCCATGGCTACCAGGAACATAGTCCAATTAATTTGACTACTCCAAGCAATGCATTTTCTATGGCTCACATTATAGTAAAATGTGCTTAACATTCCAATATTATTCTGATGATCTGATACTGCATACACAATATATTTACATTTTAAACAAAATCATTTAAAATTGCCGAAAATGTCAATATTATGAGCAATTTAAAGATATATATTCAATTGCTTGGTGGACCCATTAGTCTCACCTCGAATTCAATGAAACTTTGCAGAAAGTTGTTGTTAAAGCAATGGAACACTAGGGACAGGAAGATATGGAAAAGCGGGGACGACATGATGTGCACTCTAATGTACAGTACATCCAACTGTGATATAGAGCAGAACAGTGTGGCCAATTTTAAGACACTTAGTATCTTCTGTGTGAGCAAGCAACATTAATATGTTAAATTTGTATTTGTAGGTTATGGAGGCGAAAAATTTTGGCATTTCCTTATTATTATTATTATTATTATTATTATTATTATTATTATTATTATTATTATTATTATTATTATTATTATTCCTTATTACAATATTATTCTTTATTACAATATTATATATTATATTTCCTATTGAAATTACAATATAAATGTTCTTGGTAATCGGAGGTATAAATCTAGGCCAACCGGCATTTTAGCGATTCATTGAATTACACGGAATCAGTTGTATTTGAAATTTAGATAAAATTACGATCACAGTAACCTACGCTAGGTATAAATGTGAGTTGTTACTCCGAGTTTCACGCTTAATGGCGATCATCAGACAACTGTAATTAGGCCTAGGTTCAGTGGGTTGCTGTTGTGACGACACTCGGCGACTAGTTAGGTTCTTTTGTTTATGTTAGATTGTTTTGCCAATAGGATTGCTAGATTTTCTTCTATGCATAGGTTGTACTGGCCAGATTTACGTTTGTGTGTTGGATTTCTTAATGATTTCCCATTTTAGAGAGCATTCGTAGCCCTTTCTTTTTAATTCCCATATGTGTTTTGAGAATTCTGTTTCTTTTTCATATATTTTTCGTGCCTGAAGGATAACAACGCCTAGGCCTAATTACAGTTGTCTGATGATGGCATTCATTGATCACCACGTTCTGAAGGTTGTAGTAAGGCTGTCAGACACACAAAAATAGATGGATATTGTCAAGGTCGCATCAAAAGTTCTCCTACGATTTGACGTCTAACCAATAAAAAAGCTGCGCTTTTACGTACCGCACAAACATCACCTTGGGCACATGTCGTCGTAGAGGCTTTAGAGGGGTCAAAATCATTTTCCCCGCAACCAGAACTTAAGTTAAGCTGTCGCATGTATAGCATTTCAGAACTTCTGAAAAGACGTAAAAAACTTGAATATAAATTAAAACTTTCAGTGTCTGTAATCATGACCTGATAAATTTGAAAACAATTCAATTCAAAATTGGAATTTGCTTAATTTTGTATATTTTAGTAAGTTATTAACTTACAATTAAAAAAACAAGTACAGTTTAATAAATTGATATTTTATCGTTGGATAGAATACTTTCATTTGTTATTATTGAATTGCTCTTGTTTCGAAGAAAAAGCTTTATACATAATTATTTTAGAACTCATGAAAACTGAAAAGGAAAAGAGTACTGAAAAAAGATTGAATAAAAATACCATACAAATGATTTATTGTACAGATATACCTTATATAAGAAAGTATAATACATACTCCAAGTATTGAAATACACGCCATCGTGTTGGGATTCAATATTTCGACATTAATTATGTCATCATCAGGAATATACCTTATAATAATAGTAATAACAAAGATGATAGTTCACACTATAAGAGAAAAAATGAATTGTGATGAAAGATCTCATCTATTAATTGAGAGTTAAATAATTGCTATATTTTATTGGCTCATGGTAACCAAGCAATATCCTTTTCGACCTACTTCTAGTTAGAAGTTAATAGCTTTATCGTTGAATAAAATACTTTCATTTGTTATTATTGAATTGCTCTTGTTGCGAAGAAAAAGCTTTATATGTAATTATTTTAGAAATCATGAAAACTGAAAAGGAAAAGAGTAATGAAAAAGGATTGAATAAAAATACTATACAAATGATTTATTGTACAGATATACCTTATAATAATAGTAATAATAAAGATGATATTTCACACTATAAGAGAAAGAAAATGAATTGTGATGAAAGATCTCATCTATTAATTGAGAGTTAAATAATTGCTATATTTTATTGGCTGGTAATCAAGCAATTTCTTTTTCGATCTACTTCTAGTTAGAGGTTAATAGCTTATTTAACCCTTTTAAATTAGGTATTTTGATATATTTTTAAGGTTTTATTTTTTATAATTAGCTGCAATTATTAAGAATATTTTATGGAATTAAATACATCTATATTATTAATAACTTTTACACATTTATAAGAGTGTACATCACAAGCAAGTCAGTCTTTTTACTGCTGAATGTGACTGAAATAATTTGAAATTGAAATAAAAATTGAAAATAAAGAACATTCATTGAAAACTTAATTTGGAAGAAAACAAAAAGTGAACTAAGTGTACATACGAAGTCAGTTGGAGTTATATGCCAGGCTGGTTTTATATAATCATTAATTAATTAATAAATAAGATATCTGGTAACAAGTTATCATTAGGCCTGTACTTACCTGCAGAAGCAAGAGATGCTAGAATGAGTACAGCTGTCATTACAAACTTCATCATTGCTCCCCATGTACTGAAAATTTCTGAAATAAAAACAACAGTATTGACATCAATGTGCAGAACCATCCATCTGAACCCTAAATCCAAGAGCAAAACCTGAAGACCTGCAATACCTACTTCATCCACGACTGCGTAAGTAAAAATGCGTAACCCCAGCCTGTATCAAATGGAAACAAATTGACAACCCATATAATTAATGTACAGGTTTGCACTATATGCAAGGACTGAGGGCGCATTATATCTTAGGTATTTTCATCCGCAACGTGTTGGTATTACAGAACAGGGAAAACGGCCAACTTAGTTTTGTGAAACGTGCTAAAATACCTTCAATAATCGCAGACTTACAATTTACGATATCTCAAGTAATAGATACTATTTGCAAAGCATAGGAAGACGATAATTACCTACAGAAAGAAAATGATTCACAAATGGCCACAACTGTCCATCGTACATAAGCAACTGACCCAATAACTACTCCCCAGAAGAAAAATAACTCTCCTTCTAAAACAGCTGTCGGGTAGGTTGAACCGAGTTCAACTTTGCCGATTGCGTTGCAGACGAATCGAGGTGCATTCCCACTTACGTCAGGGCAGCTAGAAATGCTCCCTGATTTGTCGGGTATTCATTTGCAGTCTCTCAGGCAATTTAGGAAAGAAAATAGAAACAATGATGATAAAGAATGGCTTATTTGTGCTCAAAGTAAATCATCATTGTCAGAATATTTAATGTATAAAGGAAATCCACATTTTGAACAGTATTTGCTGGACAAATCAAACTTCAAAGGCATTAATTTAAAATTCAAAGCAAAACCCAACTCGTTGGATCTTGAAGGCCGCAAACAATCATGGTCTAATCATATTAACACAGGCACATGCAAACTATATACAGACAACCAAAAAGAAACTGTAGAACACTTCTTATTTGACTGTACTAGATTAAATTTTATTAGAGATATTACATACTCAAATATTATGGAAAGTCTTCACGAAAATGGTTTAAGTGTATATTGGCATAGTTTTAAAAATGGATCACAGCAATTTAAACGTTACATTATGCTTGATGATATGTTTATAGAAAATGTAACATTAAGACAAATTTTTGATTTCCATTGTAAAGAATATTTAATTAATGCATGGACTAGTAGATCTTTGATGCTATCTACATTACCCTCCTAAACAAATTAAACAGTACTTAAGTTTGTTTTTTTTTTTTGTTTTTTTCCCCTTACTGTTACTGTAGTAGTTAGGTTTGTAATCATTAAGTTGTTTATTAAGCCTTTATTTATTGTTATCATTATTTATTATTTTATTACACACCTAAATTTCTGTTTGTCATTTGAATTGTTTCAGAAAAAGGGGGATGAAAAGGGGAAGTGGAAAGGAGGGCGGGGAGAAAAAGAAGAAGAAAGAGAAAAGAAAAGGGAAGGAAAGGAAGAAACAAATTATTATTACTTTTGGTAGTTATGGTCGTAATTCTTCAAATGGCAAGGACCTTTTTTAGATGTGTTTCAAATTTAAGACCAACAGTACTGATTGTAATTGATTAATTCTTTGAAACTTAGACTGCTCCATTCGGTTAGTCATGGAATATTCCTTCTATCGTACTAATTAATGTTTACATTCTATCATTTTGATTCGTTTTTTGATACTTCATTGTGTTGTTTTTTTTATCTTTTCTTTGTATTTTGTAAATGTTGCTTGTTATTTGGATGCACCACCAGATGGTGTGTGCCACTGATACAAAAGTGTTCAAATAAAGTTCAGTTCAGTTCAGTGATTGGAGGTCATTTTGTTATTAGACTGTGGGCATATTCAGTGCTTTCCTTTTAAAGGAAAGCACTGTACAACACCACAGTCTAATAACAAATTAATAATGATTAGTGTCGTCGTTTCGTCTGTTGTTCTTTTAGGCTCGGAAGTTTCAAGCTCTGGACCTATAGGCCTACAATTAAGACTAAACGAATGATAATTTAAATGTTTTTTCGTTATTGAGTGAGATTTGAAAAAAAAAATTGTTTTTGGTGGGGGCTGCTAAGGTCCCATCGACTTCATATCGCAGCCAACAGAGAGGTCTGAGCTCTGTCCTGGCTGAGGCTTCTTCTGGCAATGCTTGAGAAGACGCGCCCACTTCACGTTTTAAGGAAGTATGTTAATGCTTTTTACTCGTTATTGCTCTTTAAAATAAAAGATCCCGCTGTAATGGACAAAACATTCTGATAAAAATATCCCGGTGGGCCCTTTAAGGTCAAGGGCCCATGATTTTAGCAAGTGGGAGCTCATAGCTGTTAAACCACTGATCACCGCCGATTGTTTACAGGCCCTTTCTAATAACATCACCAAGATATTTAGACAATAAAAAAAGAGTACCGATATTGCATTTGCTTTATCTTCATAGTTGAGACAGGCGCTATTCTACAATCGCTTAAATATTCGCCCCCCCCCTCCCCCCGGACCACTTCCGAGAGATTTTGAGACACGCTCAAAATGCCCACTTATGCTCTTATCGGGGATATTCCCCACGCCTCCCCCACCGTAGTCGAAGACATAGGACCGCTGCCGGACAATCCAGACGCCACCCCTGGGTTAATAACTTGTCATTGACAGTGATTCCATGTGTATAAGAGACAGCTTATGCTCTTATCGGGGATATTCCCCACGCCTCCCCCACCGTAGTCGAAGACATAGGACCGCTGCCGGACAATCCAGACGCCACCCCTGGGTTAATAACTTGTCATTGACAGTGATTCCAACGGGCCCAAAGAAAAGTGTGGTAGTATAGATCCTACAAAATATCGTGTCGTACTAATAGTTTGAATACTAGACGGAAAATCTTCTCTTCTTTAAAGCTGGTTAAAGGGTGTGACTAAGAGACTAAAAATCGATGAGTCTCTTAAAGCAAAGTGTAGGCTTACTGAATGGTGGAGACAGAATATGCTCCAACTATTCCTATTGGTCGACTAAATATGACGTAAACGATATGCACACCTTGACATTGGTTATAAGAACAAATAATGCACGTAAGATTAGTTGCTTTATACAAATCGAGTGTGCTGAAAATCGAGTGTGCTTGAAAATCGAGTGTGCTCTAAAATAGAATGTGCCTGGTAATCCAAACATCTAATATTTTTCCGGAATGTAGCCAGCGGGTTGAACGCATTTTGCAACGATAGCAACGGAGTATTATCACGTGGTATCGTGACCACACTGATAATCAGGAAAATGTGTTTACGAATAAGATTTCTACAAGATAGATATCGACTACTTTTTCAATAAATTGTGCAAAAGCTCAATAGACTTACGAAGAGGACAATAAAAAGTGTAGGCCTAATGAACTTATTCATGTAAATAATTCTAAAAGAACAATTTTGGAAACAATTAAACATACCATTGAAACAGTTATTCGTCCCAAACCAGCAAACATTATCGTTAAAAAAAATATTAAAAAAAAAAAAAATATCATCATTGGGTCTACCAATAATTAAGACACGTTTAAATATGAGAGTATTAAGAGCAGCAAAAAGTGACCCTGTTTTTTGGATATTGTTGCTAAAGGTCCACACAAAATATTGCCTAAACGCAAGTAACCATGTGTTTTGTAGGACTTACGAGTATGTTCTT